GTCCAGCGAGGGTGCCGGATCCAGCCTCCCATAGCCCCCATGGGGCGCTGGGGCTGCCATGCTGATCGTGCGGGTGGGAGCGCACCTTATTGCCACAAAGACACAAACCCGCCTTGTCCTGCGAGAGCTCTTGCGCCCATAATCATAGAATCACAGAATGTCAGGGATTGGAAGGGACCTCAAAGGATCATCTAGTCCAACCCGCCTGCTGGAGCAGGACCACCTAGATCAGATCACACAAGAACGTGCCTAGGCCCGTTTTGAACATCTCCAGAGAAGGAGACTCCACAACCTCTCGGGCAGCCTGTTCCAGTGTTCTGTTACCCTTACTGGGAAGAAGTTCTTCCTCATGTTCAAGTAGAACCTCCTATATTCCAGCTTATATCCATTTCCCCTTGTCCTATCATTGGATGCCAGTGAGAAGAGCCTGGCTCCATCCTCATGACAGTCACCCTTTACATATTGATAAACATTAATGAGGTCCCCCCTCAGTCTCCTCCGAGCTAAAGAGACCCAGCTCCCTCAGCCTTTCCTCATAAGGGAGATGCTCCGCTCCCTTCATCATCTTTGTGGCCCTGCGCTGGGCTCTCTCAAGCAGTTCCTTGTCCTTCTTGAACTGAGGGGCCCTGAACTGGACACAATATTCCAGATGCGGCCCCACCAGGGCAGAGTAGAGGGGGAGGAGAACCTCTCTCGACCTACTAACCACACCCCTTCTAATACACCCCAGGATGCCATTGGCCTTCTTGGCCACAAGGGCACATTGCTGGCTCATGGTCATCCTGCTGTCCACCAGGACCCCCAGGTCCCTTTCCTCGGTGCTGTTAAGCACAGTCCTTCTGGCAGTGCGTGCAATTCAGGTGCAAGAAAAACGCTAAAAGGCAGCATAAGGGGGTCTCCTGCTACTCGTCTCTTCCAGCCCACGTTTCTGTATTTCAGAGGAAGGATGTGTAACAAAAGCAGCTACCAACAGTGTAAGAAAAAATACCTTTGTTATGAATACATCATAAAATCACAGTCATTTTATACACATTTTAGTATTTCATACATAAATTAAGTGAACAATATAGTTACTGGAATGTGTAATAAGAAAAAACATATAGATTTTAATGCGAAAGTAACAAATCCCCATCTTTTCGTTGCGTTTTTGAGGCTTAACGTATTAAGTCTGAAATACTCTAGAAGAAAGTTTCTCAAACTGTTGCCAACAATAACTCCAGGTATTACCTTAATTCCATTTGCAATCAATTTTCCTCTCCTTTTCCTGATTTAGCCTGACTATATGGGAGTTCTTCTGTGTCAGTATTCCAACTTTGCAAGAAAGAGTAATCCTGTACGTACTTGGCACAGTGTTGACAGAAAACATTTTTCCAAGCTTTAAGATTTTAACAATCTTTAACAATCAGCATTTTCCCATCACTGCACACTCTTGCAAATGTTTCCATTAAATATATTTCTAATATTAATAAAATAACAAACTCTTTATTATCCTTCTGCTTATAACTTGATGTCTTAACATCAAAATAATATTTCTTTCTAATAAAATTATACATAGTATTTATATGAAATAACGTTTTTATGTGCAGGAGCCTAGTATTGAAACTAGGCACGAGTGTAGATGTTTCTACATTCTTATTTTGGATTCTGGTGGGAGGGAGGTTCTTGTTATTTTTGAGGCCACCGAGTAATAAATAATTTACAAGATAATGACTTCCTTGGCTCCCAGGTAACCAAACTTAAAACTGGGAATGATTCTGGCTTTATAAAACTTTGGGTATGCTGAAGAAAATGTCACTTTTCTATCTGAGTGTCTGTATGTATTTATCCAGAAATCTTAATGAAATGTCTCTGATACAATCTGTTAACGAAAGTTATCATACAGTTAATCAGAAATAAAATGAGAAAGGTCTATGCAAAGGTCTTAGCCAGATGCAGACAGAAAGCTGAACCTTCTCAGCCAGCTGTGCTCAGAGGGGCTCTCCCTGCTGGAGGAATTCCTGTGTCTTGTGGGGTGGACTTATCTTTACCATAGTGTCCTCTCGTTGCTGCTGGGACTTGGCCAGCAGCTTTGGGGCAGGGAGTCTGGAAAGAGGAGGGTGAAGCACAAAGACAAACCCAAGGAGCACTTCACTTTTTTTTTTTTTATGGAGTAAGCATGTCTGTTGGAAAACCTGGCTCTAGGCTGTGACAACCAAAGATGCAGGCTCCATGAAGGGAAATTACTGAGGTGTCCGTTTAAGAAAGGCACGTAAACAGGTGTAGGACAGCTTTCCGTACTTACAGCGAGCATGTATTTTATCTATTTTTCTGATCCAGTCTCAGAATTTCCCTTCCCTGTATACTTACGCAAGCAGGACAATTGTCACCTATCCCTGAATCTGATGGTCAAACTGTAGGAACTTTTCATTTGCTATTTGTCTATATATGGAAAAGCAGAGCTTAGAACTAAAATAAGTGCCTTTTTTAGAGCACATCTTCTTGTGGGCAGAGGGCAGCAGAATTTAGTTGGTGTGTAGGAAGTGACTCATCTAACTCATTATTCAGTATCTGATGGTCAAAAAACCTGCAGCTACTAATTCTATAGTGAGAATCAACCTGATCTCAGGCGGTGGAGTGTGGTGGTAAACACATGCAAGGTACATGATTTGCAAGAGTTACAAATACAACATCTGACATTTAACAAATTTAATTCGAGCTGCATATTCATGCAGCTAGTTGCCTGCTTGAAATTGAGAAATTAAGACATAAATGCTTCAGTTCATGCTGTCTTAGAGGCTTCATTCAGCCTGCTGCATACAAGACCATCCCTCTTTTGGCTACAGGTTCCTTCCCCAAATCTCACTGATTTCCCTGTCACCTAGCTGACAAGATTACTTGGATCTGCAGCTGCTGGCAGAGCTTCTCCCAGAGGAGAGGCCCCAAGACCACAGGGTGAGAGCACTATCATTTTTCCTAAGCTATTGCAGTGACTTAGTCATTGCTTTGTAAATATTGATATGCATATAATATGAAGAGGATTACAGAATGTTAATGTTCTTAAAGCTAATGCCCTTGCTTGTGGTATAGTGATAGCAAGGAGTTGGGAAACAATTACAGGAATGAGCGCATCCTCTTAAGATAATATACAAAAGACATGAAAGATCTAGGCAGCCAGCTGTTTATACAACATGATCTGTACCAGTGGTGTAGGGATTACACCAACTATCTTTTGGCCTAGAGAATACAGAAGGGAATCCAAACCTTTCCAGGTTGTCTGAAAAGGGCCTGCTTAGTTTTTTTTTACCTGTATTCTATTAGAATATGCAAACCCTGAAAAACATGGCAAAGTAAGTTTTTCTTTGCATTTGTAACATGGGCATGACCCAGCACTAAACATACTGTAGAAGTAGCAGCTACGCACATACAACACTGAAGTTTTGTGCTTAATATACTCCTTTATCTTCTAAGCATGGCAAAGTCCTCAGCAGTTGGGGTAATCCGAAATAAATGGTAACATACATCATCCATGAGGTATGGTCCAGCTCGTGCATCCAATTTTCCAGTGTAAAAAACGGTCACTCCCTTTCATCCCTCTTCACAAATATAGGATCCCCTGTGCAGTACCTCACCTTGTCTATCCCCATACTAGTTTAAATGTTTTTTCATGGGCACTCCTGCACCTACTCATACTCCTCATATACGCAGCCAAATACACTGTAACTCCGTGTTCCAGTTCCGTGAACGCCGTTTAGGTTCTTTTCACGCAGCAGAGGAACAAAGCAGACAAAATCGCTTTGCAAACATGAGGCTCTCTCTGGTCTCAATTTCACTTAGACTTCAGCATTTCACCAAGGAAGACATGCACCTACAGGAGGTCAGAATCTGACTCTGTCTGCAAGGCTGAGATTGATTTTGTGATTGCCATTAAGCCTACTTGATTCACTTATGCTTGGTTTTCCTGCTTTATACATTCTTTGTTCTCTTGCTCATCTCTGTGTAACGTATCCAGCATGAATCTGCTGAGGAACGGAACTGGCCTTCACACTGAGCAGTGGGAGAATAGTAAGGGAAAAGTAGTGTTAGTTTAGGACAAACACATCTTTTTGACTCCCTTTGAATGACACTCTAGCAACACAAAGCCAAATAATTTCCAGATCAAGAAGCAGGGCCCTTATATCACAGCTTCACCACACTTTTTTTGCCTTTTTCTTCCATGGTGGGGCAAAACAGAATAAGGCATTTCACTTATAGCTGGTGTCTGCTGTGAAACAGGCATCCACTTTTCATGCTCTCCCAAGCCTGGAGACAGTAGCCAGAGACTTGAGTTCAGTGGTAAAATATAAACACATGTATAAAATAACTGTGGACCAAGGTTTTCATCATTGATGTCGTTCAGGCATGATGTTCAGCTGTCCCTCCACCCCTGGAAAAATTTGGGTACTGGGTCATTTAGACATAGAATGCAAGGTAGGCAGATGAAATGCTGTGGTCTGCGCCATTAGCTAGAACATGCCTTAATTGTAGTATGTACTAAGAAGGTTTTCTTGATAGTTAGGTACAACACACAGTGCAGGCTTGATGGTATAGAATTACTGCAAGGAGGCTACCATGAACCAGGAGAGCTACAGTACAGGCAGTATGGTTGGGGAAAAGCAGAAAGAAAACTGAGAAATAATATATATATATATATTTTTTTTTTTACATTGTCAGTGCATTTTTATATTGAAGAACTCTAAAGGGGCTCTATTTTTCAGTAGGTGTAGCTAAGGATGGGCTGCCTTCTGTATCCTGGAGTCCGTGGGTGCTGCCCGTGGTTTGTAGTCTTCTCCAGATCCAAAATCTACTGTGTCATGATAGTTTGTAAATTCCTGAGGTAATGGAAACTCCTCTGTTGATGAATGAGTCCTGTGTCCAAACACTCTCTCTTGCAGCTCAGCAATGTCATTTCTGATGTCTGCCATCATCAGCAATAGGAAATCAAATGAACCTGGTGGGCCCTGCAGTCACAAGGCACGGTCATTAATAATAATCGACTTCATTCTTACAGTTTTCAAACACGTTGATATAATGAATCATAGAATCATAGAATGGTTTGGGCGGGAAGGGACCTCAAAGATCATCTAGTTCCAACCCCCCTGCCATGGGCAGGGAAACCCTCCACTACACCAGGCTGCCCAAAGCCTCATCCAACTTGGCCTTGAACATTGCCAGGGATGGGGCATCTACAACTTCTCTGGGCAACCTGTTCCAGGGCCTCACCACCCTCTGGGTGAAAAATGTCTTCCTTATATCTAATCTAATCTCTTTCAGTTTAAAGCCATTGCCCCTTGTCCTATCACTACACGCCCTTGTAAAAGGTCCCTCTCCAGCTTTCCTGTAGGCACCCTTTAAATACTGAAAGGCTGCAATAAGATCACTGTGGAGCCTTCTCTTCTCCAGGCTGAACAGCCCCAACTCTCTCAGCCTGTCTTCATAGGAGAGGTGTTCCAGCCCTTGGATCATCTTCATGGCCCTCCTCTGGAACCTTGCCAGCAGCTCCATGTCCTTCTTGTGTTGGAGACTCCAGAGCTGAATGCAGTATTCCAGGTGGGGGCCCATGAGAGCAGAGTAGAGGGGCAGGATCACCTCCCTCGACCTGCTGGCCACACTCCCTTTGATGCAGCCGAGGATACTCATGCAGGGGTAACTCAGTAAAATACTGCTTATAATGTCAGTTGCCAAAAGTTAACAGCCTCTTTCTGAATCAGCCTGCTCAGGAAACAATTTTCAAAAGATGGCAAATATTTTTTGTGACAGAGCCTATGTTTACAAGATGCTCAGCCCTTTTATTACTTAACAGTTCCTTTGCTATATCTGCCTCTTGAGAGTATCTTGAGACCTCATGGGAATAGAGGAGATAAATCTTGGTTCCCTGTGTCCCTTCTTATTAAACTGATGAAAATTACATTCTTAAAATGACTAATCAATCAAGAATTATTATTTACTTAAAATTTTTTCTCAAGAATGCTGGTATTTGGAAGGTAACTTTTCAATATGGTAGCCTCATTGCTGTCCATTGCTTACTAAATGTACTGGTAATTACAATGCGTCTGCTTTTATCTGATTTTAGAAAATCATAATTTCTTTTTAGCTGACACAGTAAAGTACATTGTTTAATACTGAGGACACCCTGCTGGATACACTCTTTAAAATCCATTCCACCAATGAGAAAACCCTGTAAGAAATACATTTTAAAACAATTTCACCTGAAAACAGATTGTAAATACTCATCCTTCTCCCAATGACTTGCTCAAAGCCTATAGCTTGCCAAGGCCCAGAGAAAGACAAGGGGCAGGATTTTAAAAGATTCCAGGGATCCAGCTCCCATTAGGAGCGGTGACTGAACTGTACTAACTAGCACTCTGCATGGGATCTCATGCTACTGCCTTCTGAGGATGTCCCACCGCTGTCGTAGGGCAGAGGTGCACTTCCTGCCTTCAGGGAGGAGGTGTGCAGGCAAAAACACATGGATGAAAACAGGTAATTACTTTCTTTCCAGTAACATTTTCTGTGCATGTAAAATATCTTTCATTGTGCTCTTGACACAGGAGAGGGTTTTTTGTTGGTTTTTTTTTTTTTCCTTTTGGCTGACCTGTTAGTAGTCAACATCACTCTGTTGTGGAAATTCTCCTGTGGGCAATACTTACAGGTATCCCCTTTGGTCCTGGTGCACCTCGCTCCCCCTGTAATCAATACCACCTCAGTTAGTTTGCTATAACTACAGGAAATGAAAAAAAAATCACAGTTTGCCTCTGCAGACTCCCTTACTTACTGTCCCCACATCAAGAATCATCAGCTTATGCTTGCTCAGAAGAAGAAAAGAAAGTGATGGAGGAACTTGCTCCAGGAATATGGCAGGAAATTGCCACTGATTCTAGCGGAAGCAGAGCTGAGCACTTCTGATATTTCTCCTAGACAGTAACAAGCCAACCAGTTAACAGGAGAAATTCAGAAAAGAGCAGTCTAATGAAATGAGCTAAAGCATCTACGTTTCTTCATGGAAAAGCTAGAAGAGCTGCAAAGAAAGGAAAGGAGGCTGCTTGACAGATAGCCTGGCAGGCCTATTTGCAAGACTTAAGGAATGGCAAGCATAAAATAGCAGAAGAAAGACATGAAGGTATGGGATGGGACAACAGGACGTTTTCAGCTTAGCAAAGGAAATGAAATGGTCAAAGGATGTGACTACAAGTGTGTAGAGGGTCTCTCTAGCAAGCCTGCACTTCACATGTGCATGTGCCCATGTTATGGAAAACAGTACCTCTCCTCACCTTGCTACCATCTCTTCCCGGGGCTCCTGGTGGACCCTGCAAGAGAAAATAAAGTGTTCACGAGGACGCGACAGGTTGCGGAGCTAAGGCCAATTGTGCAATGCATGACAGGAGGCGAGAATACTGACCACAGGACCCCGTCTGCCCTGCTTAATGTGTGATATGTCTGGAGATGGGCCCATAGGTCCCATTGATCCACGAGGGCCTGGCTGTCCGGGAGGTCCAGGTGACCCAGGAACTCCTTGACTCCCTTTTGGTCCTGGAGCCCCTGCAATTGACAGCAAATGTTACCTGCCAGGGAAAGCCCTCAGGACGCTTCATCAGTGCAAGCAGTGGCGACTGACCATTTTTTGAACCACTCAATGGACTGGTTGCCTTAACACACCCAAATCCACAACATCACAACCAAAACATTACTCCTTGTCACGGTGGCTACAAGACATCTTCACAAAACGATTTGTGAATGCGAATTTTTACAAAGAAGCCAAGACTGCCACTGCCAGGCGGCTAGGGACACAGACTGGGAATGCAAAGAAAAGCAGAAAAGCCTTATTTTCACACCAAGAAGAAAAGAACGAGTCACATCTGAGAAACATTTCATAAAAAGAAAGACTCAGAAAACTCATGGGAATGTTGGGTCAAAGGCATCTACATGACTGGCATGGAAGCAAGTCCTTTCCAGTGGTGGGTTGCACTTCTCTTTTGCCCATGCCCAGTACGGTAGCCAATGTGTTAGGGGCAAAAAAGGCTCTAATCGTTGATTTAGCTTCATCTCCTTTTCAGCTTCTGCTCACTCAGCAGATAATGTTAGTTTTTAGGAAGCACACAGGCAGCAAAGCATAAATTTAGCTCAAGAGAAAGAGTATGAAAAGCAAAACAGAAAATCGGGCACGTGAAACACATTTGCACAAAATAAAGACCACTGCATAGCTGAATTGCTTTGTAACGGGAGGGGAAAGCACTTTTCTTCATACTGAAGGCAGGTGAAAGACATAGAAAATGAGAGGCAAAGAGTAAAAATGGTTCAGCAGGACAGCACATGTGCAGTTAGGGTTCTCCAAAGGAGTAAAATCGAGTTCAGCGATGGACCGTCTCGGACTCCTCCTGGAGACCCCGGCGCGCCGTTGCTAGCGGCAGGGCAGAGGAGGAGTAGGCGAGCAGGGATGGTTTTCGAGCGGAACAGACCATTCCACAGCACCTTGGACAGCTCAGTCGTGGGAAACCAGATGGGAGACGGGCAGAGTCAGGCCTAGGTTAGCGGGACTGCAAGGCGGCCCACTGCACCGTTCCGAGTCCGACGCGGAATTTCTAACCACACTGTCCTGACACTTATGATACACTGAAGACTGAAGATACTCATCCTCCAAGAAAATGAGACAGAGACTCAAAAACCAAAGCAAGACTGCAAAAGCAGGGATAAATGGGGGGCAGTTCAGTCGGGAGTAAATCAAACCTTGTAAGGATTATCGGCTAGTCCTCTGTAAGAATCTTCCTGAAACCCAGCGCTATGCTAAAATTCCTTGGATTTACTGATAACCCAAAATTAGATCTGCAGTCAACAGAGTTGGCAAAATTTTTAGCATCACTGGCTGCAGGTTGCAAAGTGTCTGGCTTAAGTTAGAGCTTTAGGAACTCTCTGCTTTTGTTATTGTTTCAACCTATACCTTAGCAAAGATGGTGTGAGTGGAGTTTTACTTTTCTTTTCAGATTCCTTTGAATCTGGAACACACATAAAACCAACAAATGAATCCTTGTAAAACCAGATGAGGAAAAGTAAAAGAGTTGGCACGAACCCCCACAATCTGGAAGCACGTTTTCTGCTCTAGTAATGACAGTGAGCTAAAGCAATACGTATTCCTGAAATGAAATGGAGAGTGTTTTAAGACACAGTTAAAAAACAGGAAATGACAACTGAAGCAGGTGAGATGTCCCAGGGAGAGGGTGAAATTTTGCACGTACAGGACAAACACAGCTTGCACACCAAGAAACATATGGAGACTGAGACACAATGGATGATGTTGGACAGTTGGCAGAGGCTGACCATAATGACCAGAAAATTTTTAAATCTAGCACATATGCAAATATAATAACAACAATCAAAATATGAAACACCTGAAATCCTATCACACTGAAAGACTGAAGCCTATTATTTTTACTCATGGCACTATTGCACATTCACATCCACAAAATCATAGAATCATAGAATGGTTTGGGTTGGAAGGGACCTCAAAGATCATCTAGTTCCAACCCCCCTGCCATGGGCAGGGACACCTTCCACCAGACCAAGTTGCCCAAAGCCTCATCCAACCTGGCCTTGAACAATTCCAGGGATGGGGCATCTACAACTTCTCTGGGCAACCTGTTCCAGTGCCTCACCACCCTCAGAGTGAATTTTTTTTTTCTTATATCTAATCTAAATCTGCCCTCTTTCAGTTTAAATCCATTGCCCCCATCTGGTCTGTATCTTACCTGGAGGCCCTTGTTGGCCAGGCTGGCCTGGGGGGCCAGGGATATATGCATTAGATGCAAGCACTTTTTCACCAGTGATTTGCTTGCTAAGATCAGCAGCATTATTTGGTAGCAAAGCAACCTGCCAAAACCAAAAATCACTGTAAGTCCTTCATCATTCCGCTGGATAAATTACATTTTTGGTTAAGCTTCATGTGGGCAAACAGCATTATGAAATACTTCAGGAAAATATAAAATATTTAATCATATCCTTCATCGAAGTCATCAGAAAAACATGTTACTGTTTGAGGCTCTTCACTTTTCAAGTCACCATGGAAATACTGCAAGTCAATCCAAATGGAGAGCAGGAGAAATTCGGGAGATACAGCAAGAAGTTGTCAAAAACTTGAGTCTCAGAACTGCTCGGATCTTCTCAGGAAACCTCTTTTTCTTTGAAGTTTTCTCTATTCATATACTGCTCTTTCTCAAGGCAACATTTGCTCAGATATTTAAGTTCTCAATTGCTGCCCAAGCCACTAACTTTTCATAGGATTCAAGGAGAGCCTCAAATCCTGTGTGGATCTGGCTCTGTAACCACACTGTTTAACTCAGCAGATGTTTAGACCTATGCTGCATAGAGACACAAAGCTGAAGTGACAGAGAATGTAAGCAGAATTGCACACTATAGTTTAAAATGTCATTATCCATTACATCATATGTTTAATTATCCATTAAACATTAATCTTTTAATAAAGATAAAATATATTTATTAAACATGCTTAGAAATATTCTGAAAATGTTTAGTCTCTCCAGAGGCAGCTGAAGGGAGATGACAAGCCAGGAGGCTGGTCTGCAGCAAGAAGTTTATTAGTGGTGAGCGGCTCCATGTAGAGTTGCAAATTTTGCTCTGCCAAACAGAACTGAAGAGTTATTTCAGCAATACCAGGGCAGATCTATCCCTGGGTCAGCTTCATTGCTGCCCTGAATGAATTTGGCTCACTGGATAGTTTGATGTTGGATTCTGCAATATTTGCGTGGGAGAGCTGCATTAAATAAAATACACAATGACTCCTGCTATCTAACAATGCTTTTAATCAGCTATTTGGAATTCCCTGCACTGGACTGTTCTCATGACTCCTGCTTGTTTCTGTTGTTATTTGATACACACCATCCAGCCCTTAGTGCAAACCTGATGTTTATAACACATGGGAAAAATAATGCTTGCACTTGGAGTACGTACTATAACTGGGGAAATTTCTTTTTGCAAACACAGTATTAGTTAAGGTGTGCACTTCAAGAGCAGCCAGTGCTGCTTGAAGTTTGGGGTTGGATGCACAGAGCAGTTCTGAAGGAAGCAAAAGTGAGAAAATAAAAAGTGAGAAAAGCTGAGACAGTTCCTAGTGGCAGGTTTTCCTTCTGAAGATAAAAGAGCTACTCCATGGGTCACAGCACCTTACACCTGCAGCTGAAGAGGACATTTCAGTAGCTGGGGGCTCTCATAGCCACATTGTCCAGGGACCAGCACGAGGAGGACCACTGGCCAGCTCTCAGCACACTGCAAAGTTTTGTTTCCCAGAGGTGCGTCCACCCTGTCCAGAGCAGGGTCCTGGCTGGATACGAATGGAAGGTTGCAAGGATCATCATGTTGAAAAACTTGCATTATGTGACACCAACCAACCAAGGGCTCTGCAGTGCCAACACTGCCATGCTAAGACCAAGACATGGAGATAAATCCTGTGACTACCTAGAGAGCATTATATTATTCAGGCAGTTTTTGTGAGAATATCTTCAGTGTCATCACTGAGTGCTTCCCCTTAGGGGCGGCCACAGTTGAGTGACAGATTAATTGACATCCTGTTTAGAGCTTGTACTTAAATTTCTGACCAGAGCCTATTTCTGGGATCTATTGCTATCCCAGTTGATAAATAGGGGTCACTTAGTATGTAGTCCCTGCCATGAATACTCTTCAGGTTATATTGCAAATGGCCAGGCTGGAGTAAAAAGGTGCATTTAGTGGTGAAGAGTCATCATGAAGAGGATTTGAAAGTGTATTCTTTTCTGTTGCTTAAATATTGAGTTGTTCCTGCCTGCAAGGCTGTTGTAACAACTTAAGTCAAAAAAAAAAATCATCACATAGCTGCTGTGAAAGCATCTACACATGCTTCCCCACTGAGTCAGCTAGACTTGAGGCATACACTAGGAGTGCCAAAATACCCAGGCTCTGGTCTAGCTCACTGCTCTTTGATATCTTCTGGCCAGAAAACTGTTGTTACATACACTGGGGCCAAACCATGTGGTTTTGATGTTGACTCACATCCTCTTAGGGATTGGCTATACTCACTGGCCTAATTTCTATTTCACCTTTTAACTGAACTAGGATCCTGGCCCAGAGTGACCTTGGCCTTCTCCATCCACAGCTCCAAATTTTAATGGTCCTTGGAAAATATTTTTTTTTCCATGTGCATGCAAACATTAGCAAGGGTAAATTTTAAAGAAAGACAGTACTAGAAACAAGACTCCAATATGTTGTGTTGCATACTCCATCTGGAGTTTTGGGTAGTTTCTAGGAGATCTGTGGTTTACACAATTTTGACAGTGCTCGACAGGAGTGAGGAGGAACATGGCTTTCTAATTAAGATGTTTAAACAGATTTGTGCAATAGGATCCAGCTTACTTGATTTTTTTAAAAATTGTTGGCTGTGTGTCAGCATGTCAGATATCTTTCCCCCCAGTTTTTCAGCTTTCCACTCCTCTTCCTTCCAGCAAGGTCTGAGATCAACCTAGGACTGCCCACAGCCTCCTGGTATAGCCACTCCATTGCATCCCACTGAGTGACCATACAAGGTGACTTTCTGTTCCTGATCCTAGAACTACTCTGTCCTGGATGTGGAATGGATGCCGCAATCCTCCAAAAAGGTATTGGTGCCATGACCAGAGGTAGCAGGACTTGAGTTCACCCTTGTCCTTTCCTAAGAAGACACAAAACCACACCTGTCACTTCCAGAAGCATTCTCCAACTCCCAGTTGTAGAGTTTGCTGGATTGAATCCTTCATAGGCTTTCCTGCTAAATTTGCATAAAGTTCATAAAATCTGAAAGCCTTAACCAGAAGATTCATTCCCATGAACTGTCTCTCTGGCAGAGAGAAATGATCTTTTTTGTGCAAAACAGAACAGCTTCAACCACAGATATTGAAAGACGTCCTGCTCAGAAGAGCTTGGCCATGCAGAGTGGCCAGTGAAACACAAGGGTTTATGTCCACCTCTAGTGGGGTCCCTCTGAGGATGCCAGATAGATCAAGTCCCACTAGGAAGATACATGGAGAAAACTATGGACCATGACGGGACTTAGCTATGAGGCAAGAGTAAGCTGCTTTGTTTGGCTTCTGAACAACAAGTGCTCCCAGCAACAGGCACCAACGGTGTTAGTTTTCCAGGAGTGAATTTTGAACACAGGCACCTAACAGTGGAAATTAGCCACAGAAAACTTTCCATTAATTCAAGCCATTGGTCTCCACCAATTCTTGCAGCAAACAATGTGGCCAACAGTGTGATCCCAGATCTCTCGGGGGGGTCGGCGTGAGCCTGCTCAGTGTCATGGACTGCGGCTGGACAAACAGCCATTCAAAAGCATGAATCCTTTTTTAACCTGTTTGCTACTGTTTGTTTGAAAAACAGAATTTCCATCACACACAAAATTCTGTCACTTCCGTATTTGTCTTCATGCTGATTCAGAAGGAAAACATGACATTTTGAGATTTTTGTGACAAAGAGTATCTCAAACCTCAGAGTATTTAATTTTAGTGAGGTGGATTTCTTTCTTCCTAATATAAATTACATTTGAATGAATGACATTAAATGCAACAAGTGAATATACCAAATTGTGTTTTGACACAATTGAATTAAATGAGCACCCTGGGTGAAATAATTACAGCCTGTCAACATGCATTGCTGAGAATATTCCTGCAGAACACTTCCATTTGACAGAACCTGAACGTTCGAAGGAGATGTCACCAGAAAAGGCTTTACACCTGCAGCCCTGCACCTGGCCCTTCAAATCTTGGGCTGGATCTTTGGTTACTTCAATCCTACACAAGTGCAAAAGGGGCCCACGCATAGAAGCAATTAAAGGCCAGGAAAGTTTTTAAGTGCATTATTCTCTACTTGCAGGGACACAGGTGAAAACAAAAAAGGCTGGGGCTGAGGATTTTTCTTTTTTAAAAAATGGAAGGTAATAATGTATCTGCTAATGATGTTTTTGTCTAGCCACACCCCCCTATTTGGCAAGAATCCTGTATCAGCACCCTATTAATGCAAAATCATGTTCTCCCACATTCCCACGTCTGTGGAATGTCTTGCACTTGCATACACCAAAGGTGGATCAAGTCCAAAATCCTGTGCATACAGAATGAATGAAAAGCTGCGGCCAGCACGGATTGCCACGAAACCTGGGCTCGGACTGGGATGGGTGTTTGCCAGACCGTTGCCACGAGCTTGGTAACACAGCTCCACAAGCTTGGTTAGCAAGCTGCTTACAAGCAATACAGAAGCATAACGAAGAGATGCCATTCCTGGGTGATTTTAAAATATGTTGCCATCATCTTTATGGGCACAAAAGCCACATGGCAGCGACAGCTCCAAATGCTTAAATTTAACCTCAGTTGTCATAAAACATGCAGGTTTGGTAAAGACATGGCTGATTAACGTTCATACCTTTTGCTTCAGTTGTAAAACCGTCTGCTTTATTTGATGAAATTCCTTACAAGAGGCACAGCATGTCCCCGATTTCGCCGCATTTTCAGATTTCTCAGGAAGCCCAGCTGAAAGAAAGCAGTTTCCAATACAATATATAAAGATCCAAAGCAAAGAAATTCATAAAGGGATTGCAAAAGCAACTTGAAGATTGTTACATTTCTCCAGACTGTGGAAAAAAGAGAGAAATAATTGCTGTTATAAATGCTTTGACCGAATTGCTATGTAAGGCTGAGGAACTTTGCAGGACAGCTCTGAGCTCATTTCTAAAGCAGCTGTTTCCAGTTAACGGTCCCCAGAGAATTTATTTTTTTAATACCTGAAAAAGTTTACACCCTTTCTTTTATCTTTGTGTGTAGGGTAGACTAACCCTACAGATCTGAACTGATTTACAGTCCCCCAAAGGGCAAACTTTCATATGCTATAAATTACAGTGAAATCCCTCATAATACGCCCATTTCATTCACTTTGCACAAACTGCTCTTTATCATCACTAGTTATTCCTCCACGCGATGGAATCAGCCTGAGCAGAGATGGGGATGGAGATTAATGACAGGGATTGAAATCCACACAAGAGGAAGGGTCACACCTGTTGATACTATGCATGAATGGGATCTTTTCAGGAATCCATTAAATGATTCAAACTGTAAGATATCGCAAATGCTATTTTTTGTCCTTTTCCCATTCTCATACACAGTAAAGCACTTCTTCATTGCGAAAAAACAAGCACTGCTTTAACAGATGTCTGCTTAAAGAGAGATGTGGTTTCCAGAACACAGGGTGACACATACTGGCAAACTCTTGGTGAGCTTTTTTTCTTTCACATATAGTTGTCGAGAAGCGTCAAGTGTATTGAGGCCCTGCATATCATGTGCGGCCTTGCACAGTGTTACCTGGAAAGGTTATTGGACACGTTTGAACACTGACCATTCAGAGCATGTCCTGTAATTGCAAAACTCTGCAGGTGCTCCTGGTTAAAGCCAAAATCCTCAAAAAGGATCAACTACAATGCGCTTAGCTATTATACTGTATCTCTCACTTGGACACCCACTCTAATGTCCTTCATCTTTTCAGAAATGTGTATTGATTTTGAAAACATCTGCATAATTTTAAATAAAAACGGAACTTTCCAATACTAAAGATATTATGTGATACTTGACATTAAATATTTGCAGGGTCCAATAGGAACATTGCGGCCATCAGATGGTCATCTATGGACCACCGTTGCACAAATTTAGGAAAAACTGATTTTCAGTGTGTTTATGTGGCATTGAACATAACATCACATCTGTTATGCTTGCTTTCGGAAGACAATCCAGGAGAGCAGCACAGGCTGGGATCCACCCGGCCAGAGACCAGCTCTATGGAAAGGGACCTGGGGCTCCTGGTGGACAACAAGCTCAATATGAGTGAACAGCGTGCTGGTGTGGCAAAGAAAGCCAACAGGATGCTGGGTTGCATCAACAAGGGCATCACCAGCAGAGACAAAGAAGCCGTTATCCCACTCCACTCAGTGCTTGTCAGGCCACACCCACAATACTGTGTGCAGGTTTGGTCCCTGCTACAGAATAAAGATGTGGACAGGCTGGAGAGGGTCCAGAGAGGGGCTGCAAAGATGATCAAAGGCCTGGGAAGGCTGCTGTATGAGGAAAGGCTGAGAGAACTGGGTTTGTTCAGTCTTGAGAAAAGAAGGCTTAGGGGAGACCTTATCACTATGTTCCAGTGTTTCAAGGGTGGCTACAAAGAAGATGGAGACTCCCTTTCTACAAGGAGTCATATGGAAAAGATGAGGGGTAATGGATACAAGTTTCTCCTGGGGAGATTCTGATTGGACACAAGAGGAAGATTTTTCATGATGAGAACAATCAGCCATTGGAATAATCTCCCCAGGGAGGTGATGGATTCCCCAACATCAGAGACTTTTAAGATTTGGCTGGACAGGGTGCTGGGCCATCTTGTTTAGACTATGCTTTTGCCAAGAAAAGTTGGACCAGATGATCCTTGAGGTCCCTTCCAACCTGGTATTCTATGATTCTATGAAGAGTTTATTTCTCTTACCTCCTAATCAGGTAGGTGAGGGCTGCAAGGTCAAGATGCTGGAATGACCAACAGTGGTAAGACGTTGGTATTAGTGCTGAACTGATCAGAAGATTAGGAGGCAAAGGCTTGGAGGTTTTCCCCACTCAACAGCTGCCTTCTCCCACAGCTGCAGTTCTTTGGCATTACAATAACCCATGATATTCCTCTTTATTGTATTTAGCATTTTTATGGCAGTGAAAATACTGCTCTTTCCAGCCCTTTCTGATGGCACACAGCTTGGTAACACCTGAACAGCTTTCTGTACCATGTTCAGATGGCTCAAAGATTTAAGACCAAAAGGTACTACTTGGGGTTTTCCGATGAACTCTATATGACATATAATAGAATTTCACCAAATCGCAGCTATGCTGGTTCCGAGACCATTTGGCCACAACATCTCCCAGAGGGACTCCAGCCTTTGTGTGAAGACAACTCAATAAACAGCATCCACTGTTCTCCTCACTGCTGTGTTTCTAATTCCAGTAATTTTGTCTTTGACTTCTTCCAAAGTCTCTTTGCCCATAAGTCTGTCTCTGACAGATCAAAGAGTCTGCAACACGCAGGGCTTTTTTCCCTTAACAAGGAATTGATATGCTGTAATCAAGTGTCGTGGTTTTAGGCTGATCCAGCA